TAAAATAATCGGAGTGCATTCATTGTTGGTACTGGTGCGTGGGATGTCTGGGCGGAAGGAAACAAGCGACCACGCGACGGAAGCAACCAGGCGAGCAAGCAAAGCATGTAGCAAGCACGCAAAGCAGCAAGGAAATTGGTGGTCGGCAGCGATGGCGGACGCCTACGCGTTCGGAAAGCTGGCGGGCCGCGCTGGAACTAGGGAACAGTGCAATTATAGGGGAACGAGGGGGGCGGCCGCGGAGGAGGAGGAGGAGGAGGAGGAGGAGGAGGAGGGAACACTCGGCCGAGTACTGTTTTATCATCCTTCTGCGTCGCATCGAGCACAGCGCATGCAAAAAGGAGGGGGAGAGAGGAGGAGGGGGAGGGGGAGAGGAGGAGGGAGGAGGAGGAGGGGGAGGGGAGGGGAGGGGGAAGGGGGGAGGGGGAGCAGGAGAGGAGGAGGAGGAGGAGAGGGAGGGGAGGAGAAGGAAGGAGGAGGAGGAAGGAGGAGGAGGAGAGGAAGGAGGAGAGGAGAGGAGAGGAGAGGAGGAGGAGAGGAGAGGAGAGGAGAGGAGAGGAGAGGAGAGGAGAGGGGAGGAGAGGAGAGGAGAGGAGAGGAGAGGAGAGGAGAGGAGAGGGGAGGAGAGGAGAGGAGAGGAGAGGAGAGGAGAGGAGAGGAGAGGAGAGGAGAGGAGAGGAGAGGAGAGGGAGGAGGAGGAAAAGGAGGAGGAGGAGGAGGAAGAGAAGGAGGAGGAGGAGGAGGAGGAGGAGGAGGAGGAGGCCCCAGGCGCAGAGAATCTACGCCACGAGGAGTGCGCAGGCGGCCTCAGGCGCCAGAAAAACCGGTGTGCGGGAAGGCGCGCGGCCAGACCGAGCTGCCGAGGGGGGGGGGCGGCAGCGGTCCCTCCGGAGAGGCAAGCCGTCGTCCTCTGGGCCGGGCAGAATGCCCGTGCTGTGCCAGGACCGTCGGTGGTCGTCGTCAAGGGGTGCAGGAAGACGGGCATCGAGTTGGGAGCATGGGGTTGGGAGAGGTGAGAATAGTAGTACCCGTGGGCGGCCAAAGGTATCGTGGATCGCATCCGAATGCTATTGCTCACGCACTTCATTCTCCCAACCCCTTCCTCCCAACCCGATAATCGTTCTCCTCAGGGATCTGGCTTCCCAGACAGCGCCAGGCTGTGCCAGGGCATCCTGTGCACCAGCGCACGTGCGGCACCAGTCCACGGACCAGGGTCCTGCCGAAGTGCACATGCAGCGGGCGACGCAGCATCTGGAAGGCCGCGGCCTGGGGAGAGGGGAAAGGACGAGGGGCGGAGGCGAAGCGAGGGAGGGGTAGATGGGGTCGGAGTAGATGGGGTCGGAGTAGATGGGGTCGGAGGATCGCGCCGCATCGCCGATGCGGCGCGATGCGGAGTCCGATTCTCTCCACGCCGACGTCGCCGATGCGTCGCCGACGTCGGCGATGCATCGACGATGCATCGCCGATGCATTGGCGATGCGGCGCGATCCTCTGGCCCCATCCACTCGGACCCCATGTAGGATGCCTCCAGGGAGGCAGGAGGGCGGGCACCCTGGTCCACAGCAACACGGGGAGACGCCCGAGGGGAAGGCCAGGACGGGCACCCACGACCTGCTCAGCTCGGTGCGGCGGGCAGCGAGAGCAACCAGGCAGCGCGGAGGCGGACGCGGAAGGCCACGATGGGCCCCCGCGACCGGCTCAGGCTGACGGAATAGTCAGCGAGAGCATCCGGGGTGCATCTAAGGCGCGGCAGCAGGTGGGAAGGCCAGGACGGGCCTGAGTCCAGGAGCACCACATCGGCCCAGCAGAAGTTGGGGAAGGAGAAGAACGAATTAGCGAGAGGATCCAGAGTGCCGGCCGCGACGAGGCACCTCCAGGCGGTCCCGAGACCGGGGGCGCTGGGGGATCTCCACGCCGCGCCCGCGCGGGCTCCACGCCTGGTGCGCTCGTGGGGTGCTAGAGGTGCCCCTGGCCCAAGGTGCCCCCAGCTTTTCGCCCCGTTTTGGAGCCCCTGGGGCCCCCTGGGCCTCGTGAGGAGCCCTGGAGGCCACGTGGGCCTCCTCGGAAATCCTGGGGGCACCTTGGGCCGGGGGCACTTCTAGCAACACCTGGTGCGTGGTAAGGCCAGCCGAGCTCCATGGGCGCGTGAGGCCCACGGGCGGGGAGCCCGCGCAGGCGGCGGCCCCGGGGCAGGCGCGCCAAGAGGCGTCCAAGAGGCCTCCAAGGCGCCCCCCCCCCGTCCCAGAGTCCCAAGAAGCAAAAATCACCCAATCCTTTTTGCTGGAAACACAGATTCGCTTCCCCAGACAGCCTCCGAGACGGTCCAGGAGGTGCTCCAGCAGGTTCCAAGACCGCGCACGAGGCCCCAAACACGGCCCGAGAGAGCCCCAAGACGGTTTAAGGGAGCCCCAAGAGGGTTTCAAGAAGGTGCCAGACGGCTCTTGCGGCACTATCTCGGGGGATGCGGTTCCCGACATGCCCCCAACATATGCTGGGAAGCTTTCAGGACGCTGCCAAGAGACCCCCAGAGGCCCCCGAGAGACAGCGAAAACGTCCCCTTGATTCCCCAAGAGACCCCCAAGAGGCCCCGACCCAAATGCACCCAGGAGGCTCCCAGGAGGCCTCCCAATAGGCCGCCAGAA